TGCTGCTTGGCCTGCTGTGTTCATCCAGCTCTATACCTTGTGATCTCAGATTCTCCAGCATCTGCAGTTCCTACTATCTCTGACTGGATTCTGGGTTCTTTTATCCCCATTCTCCCCGAGTGAAAGTTCCTCCTCCTCCTTTCTTACCATCTGGACTGAGATGAATTAACAAGGAGGAAGCTTGGGACTTTCCTGGGTTCTGTCTGTGTCACATTATGCCGCGCGGTGCATCCACTGATCGAAAATTGGGGGAATGAATGAAGTTCCCGCTGGGCCTTTCACATTCAACTTATCCGAAAGCGCTTTCAGTGAGGGGCGGACTTTATTGGATTCAACAAGCAGCCCTTAATCGAGTTTTGAGTAAATACTGTAAATGTTACTGTAAACATTACTGGCATCATACTTCATGGTTCAATGCAACAAGTTATTTTGTTGCTTATTTTCACCCAGGTGCAGCAGTTCCTGTTTTAACTCACTGCACTACAGTTACAACACGGAGAACGTTAAACGTCTTCTCTGCACAGGCTTCCTTGTGGGGGAGGGGTCGTTTCACGGCTGTTGGTGGCTTCATAAAGATAATTCTTTGAGTCTGTGTGCCGACAGTTTGTTGAGGCTCGCGGCATTAAAGTGCCCACCCGTCCTCCCTCAATCAACACCCACTAAAAACAAAGTAGGTTAACTCGCTCTTCACATTGCTGGTGCTTGTGGGATCATGCTGTGCGCAGATTGGCAATCCTTTCAGTTTTCACATTGACATTAACGGTTCAACCTGGATGAGGCTTCTTGAAGTTTTCTAAAAGATTTAAACAAAAATGGAAATGGTACCAACGTTTCAGCCAGATCTCTCCCATTTTCTTTCTGTGTAGATTGATTTTATTATCAATGGAAGGCGATAAGTAGCAAATTAACAGTGTTTCATTCAACGTGACATTTATTTGAAGTGCCACAACTTCTCAAATCCAACTCTTTCAGCCCAGTGCCATGCATTCATGAAGATGATGATGATGACATGACCCGGCCTGTGACACTCAGCTTCTCATTTTTAAACCTTTAACCACATCCTGACCTTTGATCAATCTATGACAGGTGACGTCAATGATCTGTAAGAATTAGTTGAATGTTCCATGTCTGTACTGTAGTGTACAGTCTGAAATGTAAAAGGAGGGGCTTCAGCTGCTGTCCCCTAGCTCTGCTACCTGACCTGTCTCCTTGCTCTCACACTTTGCCGGGCGAGATTATGGCCATTCGGCATCAGCAACATCCAACTGGAGGTTCTAGCGACTCATACAGATGCCTCTGGAATTGCAATCTGCCGCCAAAAAACGGACTGAAAAAGTGAGGCACCATTTGCTGTCTCACTGGCTGCTAAAGACGGATCCGGAATCTGGTGAGTGTTTCTGAGGAGCTGGGATGTGGTTTTAATTCCAGTTCGGCTCCTCACCGCAACGACCAGAGATTACAGTGGTTTTGTTTTCAGAGCCACTGTAATTCCTGCTTTCAGCCCCTTGATCCGACCAGCTGAGTTGTTACAGGCTGCTATGTAAACATTCTGCACGAGTCCTGTAACGCTTTAATCAGCTATGATACTAAAGATTTTTCTGTACAAAAACTTCTCAATCTCCGATACCCAACAAAGCCGATTGAATTCCACCTCCCCCCCTCCCAAATAAAGGAACACGGGTGAGTGAACGCCAACAAAATTGGCGAAGATCCATAGGTAATTCAGTAAGCACTGGTTGTGTTGGCACCAAAGTTGAGTTTTCTGAGGGCGATTGTAAGGGTGAGACAGGCTAGAGAAATTCAAACTGATACATTACCGCCGAAACATGCAGGATTTATAGATTGAGTCATGAACGTTCAGTTCAGAGCCCTAGTGGGATCCAAGGAAAACTGGGAGAATAGCTAGGATCGCATTAGAGGTCAGGGAAAGAGATTAATTTGATTTGGTTTCTTTAATCGAAACCGAGAATCGGCATAGTTTACACGGCTGCGGACCAAATGGAGTAAAATGGAATTAGAAGATGCTCAACGATAGGCGCGGATACGACAGGCCGAAAGGCCTTTCCGCTTGCTGTTGAGGAATGCACTTTGTGCACGGACGACCTGGGAGTTTTTTTTAAAAAAAGTGTCCAGGAAAGGATAAGATTGGATCACTTTGTGACATTGGAGAGCAATTTGCTTAAATTGGCAGGTTTCATCTGTAAACAGTTTATACGTCGATTCAGTCCCAACAACGTGATTCGATTATTATTGTCGGTAAGTTGGACAAATAGCAGAGGCCCCGGATGGCTTCTTCCACTACAAGTGACAGAGACACTCTGACATGCTCACACAACTAGGCAATGATAATTACTCAACTATCAATTCTATATTGTGCTGTGTTGAGGTAGTTTATAAGGAAGATCATTGACAATGATAGACAATCTTATTAGAGGGTGGCAAACATTGACAGTGGACATAAACATCCAGAGTAACCAGCTCCATAATCTGTCCCACTCATGAATACCAATCCCCTTATTACAAACACAGATTGTTCCATTTTCAGAAACCAGCTCTTCTATTACCCCACATAACCCATCTCATTCCCAGATACCAACTACATGTCAACTACACACACAGACTGTCCCATTCTTAGATACCAGCTGCTCCAGCATTATCACACAGAGCACATCCCACTCTTCGATACCAGTTTTACCATCATTCACACAGCCTGTTCATTTCTAGTTCCACTAGCATCTGTACACAGCTTGTCCCACTCTGTATTACACATCACTGTATCAGTATGTGAATGTGCACATGCGTCCTCAATAAACTCTATCCCCACCCCTCTCCATTCCAGGCAACTCACAGTCAAAATCATATTGTCTTGCTGCTATTGTGCCTGCTTGCAAATTTTATGCTGTCTACTGGTGTCCAAGTGTTGCTGCCTCATGCTGCTTCATAAGCATCTTGTGTGTGTATGGTTTCATTACCTTTAGTCATTGTCTGATGATGTGGCGTTGTGACTGATTTGTAATTCACAAACAGATGACCATGATATTAAACATTGTGCTTTTCCTCCACAGGAAGTTCCCATAATGAGCTGTCCCTGGACTTCCCTGCTGGCCATAGTCCCCCTCCTTCTACTGTGCAGATGGGCACAATGCAGTAAGTTTAGACAAATGTCATTTTGGATTGAATTTCCATTGGTGCTATCCTGTCACTGGTGGGGAGATTTTAATAGGTCCATGAGGAGTGCTCATGGCAACAATGTGATTGGATCTTCCAATTATGGGGCTGTCCTGCATGAAACATATAGGAGTCTGAGCGTCCCTCCAGGAGACCCACAAACATGGTTGTGGGAGAGAATAGAGTGGTAACTAATATTAAACCTCTGAGGGAAATAAAATCAACATACTGTGGATGTAATTCTTGTCTTAAACTTCTGACAACAGTTGAAAGAGGAGACTAGGAGCCAATCCTTACTTAGTCTTAGATTTATTCAGAAAGTTAAACATTACAAATGTATAGATAATAATCTTACAACCCATGTCAGTGACAGACCTGTCTCTTTATATCCAATGAATGACTCCCTGTATTCACATAACCTCAATTTATACAATTAACAATCAAACCACTGTAATTTTTGGAATCTTGCCTTCTGTTATCACTGGGTGATGGTTTTTGTAAGAACAACATGTACTAACTCTACCATCAGCATTAAATTCATCACACAATGAAAAAATGCACCAGTGTTTGTGCTCCAACTGAAAATAAGAATCACATTTTTACTCTGGTTAATGCTCTTCAATCAATTATACTCAGCACTTTTTTTCTTTTACAAACAATAGTAGTTAATATTCTGAAAATAATATACTGTGCCCACCCTTAGATGCCAGTTTTACAATCATCTAGCTAGCCTGTTCCATTTCACACATATTAGTACCAACATCACCAATCACAGCTTATCCAACTGTCTATTAAAAGTGTATCGTGTGACTCATTTTGATACACTATCCTTCATATAAGCCCCTGTCAAACCACTCAACTGGATTCCATCTGGTTATTATTCCAAATGTAAAGCCCAACACCACCCCAAACACAGTTCCACCTTTAATTCACTCTGCAAATTAATTGCTCTATACATAAACACCTCATCTCAATCTTATTCCAGTCTGCAACTCATTCCTGGGTAACTGTGCCCCCAGCAAACTCCCAAACCTCTCCATTATATTTCAGCTTGCACTTCATTCCTGAGAATCTGTTGCTATGTAAAAATCACACAATTTCCTCTTTTCATTCTTAACTCATTCTTGGATATCATTCAATATTTAATCCTGTACCTGTTCCCAAACTATCTGATTATATTCCAGCCTGTAACTCACTTCTAGGTATCATTATTCAAAATAGAAATTCCTGAACTCCTTGATCATATTCCCACCAGTGACTCACAACTGGTTAGACATTTTGCTACATATAAACTATCCAAATTCCTCACTTTGATTCCAGCCCATGGCTCATTCTTGATATTTGTTATTTTATATATAAGCAATACTAACCTGTCAATTGTACTTCAGTCTCTAAATCACTTCATTTATTTATTCACTGTGTCACATGATTTGAGTTAAGAAAGTCTGGGGACATTTTCATGCGAGGATAAGCAATCAGCATATGTTATCAGAGAAGCGAGTTAAGTCAAAAGATTATTTGTTCCTCTGTCTCTTCAGAAAGGTGAGAATGAGATTGCGGATATGAGGAGAAGGTAGCCATCAGAGCTAAGGGATTCAGGGAGAAGATCAACAGATATGGTTGAGGGATATGAAGACTGTGTTTGTGAGATGGAGGTATATGGGTAAAAGCTTCTGATGTATCACCTTAGACACTTGTTAAAAACAAGTTGTATAATATTATCGAAGGAACTTTGGCAGCAAGGATAGGATGTAAGTTTGAGGACAGCAAATAATAGTAACTAATGTTTTTCAGACTGGAAGATATTAAGGATAGTGTTGCTCAAGGGTCTGAGTTGGGATGATTGCTCATCTCAATAAAGGTAAATGACCTGGATGTGGGCTAGAGTGAGTATAAATGAAACCTGCAGGTAGCAGAAGAATAAAGGACATGGTTAACTGAAGATTAGATGGATAAAGAAATAAATATTTTGTACTTATACAGCATCATCAACATTTTCAACTTGTCCCAAAGCACTTCACAGCCAATTAAGTACTATTGAAATGTATTCATCATTGTTTTGCAGGCAATCACAACAACCAATTTTCACACAAAACTCCCACATTGGCAATGGGATAATGGACCAGATCATGCTTGATTAACATTAGTGGAGGGATAAATGTTTGATAGGAAATGTAGAAGGCACATAAAATTTAATGCAGTGTGAAATGTAAATAAGATGAAAGATGTGCCAAATACTAAAAGCCTAAAAGAGCAAAGAACGATGGGGTCAGGTACATACATTTATAACGGATGGAGGACATGTTAATAAGTCAGTTTTTCTAAAGCATAAAGGATCCTAGGTTATCCAGGCAGGCGCGGTGTGAAAAAGTAGCAAATGCTGTTAAGGCATCCATTTTCAAAGAGACTTTACAGGTGTAATGGGCCAACTGGGGAAAGGACAAAGCAATGGGAATAAGTGGATATGTATTTCAGAGATTCAATACAGGTATGATGGGCCGAATGGCCTCTTTCTGTGCTGTAAAATGTTATCATCCTGACACTGAGGAGCTGCTAGTAAATCATCTTTCACATAGATAAGGGAATGATGAATTTAACAGGATAGTAATACACCTTAGTCACGGTTGAGGACCTAGATTGCTGCTTGAGGGAGCACTATTCAATGTGGGAGGTGGATGGTACTGCCAGCACTTGAGCCCCACACTTGAAGAAGATATTTAGACAACAGGTTCATATGCTGCTCATGACATTTACAGAGAAAAGTTAATTTGAATGAAATATTTTATTTGCATAAAGGAAGCCCTTATCTTCTTGGGTCTCTCAAACACAATGAGTTGATTTTTGCAGTGGGTGTTGTCATGTTGGCAAATGCAGCAGCCATCATACGCATAACAATCTCTCACAAATAGCAATGGATCCTCAATATCTGTGGTGTTAGTGGAAGGAGAAATCTGTATCTCAATAAGAGTCAATAAATTCAAAGGTGAATGGAAATTAACTCCCGAATAATAACTTCTTCCAATCATTTCTTCAAAGCTACAGGTTGTGGTGGTCTAACCTGTGTCACCGACTACTTGGAGCACATAACATGCATCTGGAAAGTTCCAGTCCCACATGAGCCTGGAGTTTCATACCAACTTACTGCAGTATCGTAAGTATAGAATTATTCCCTCTCACAGCAGTCACATCTTTGGTGTTGTGGAGCAAATATTAAAGTAGGCAAAAAAATCTTACACATTACATACTGATAGCTCATTCCCTATTTCGCCACCATTATACCATTCAGTATTATACCACTTGCTATTGCATCATTCACTTCTATTTGCTCATTTTCTTCTACATCACTCACTGTCAGATGGCACACACTTGTGTTGCTTATTGTTATATCACTTGCTCTCACATTAATTATAGTTTTGTAATTCATTGTTTCATAGCATACTTTTACTCTACTGGCTGTTACAGCATTTGATCTTGCATGACTGGCTGTTGGATTTTTTTTCCCCTCCTAAGCAGCCTGTTCAGAGATTTTATTACACATCTCTGCAGCAGTTGGGATATGAACCTAGTCTCTTAGCTCAGAGGTAAGGACATTATCACTGAGCCACAAGAGCCTCATCACTAGATTTATTTTTACTTAACCTATTTTTCCTAATCAACCCATTCGGAATTATTATTACACACTTCTGGACAGGTAGGGTTTGAACCTGGGCCTTCCAGTCCAGGGTTAGGGATGCTACCACTGCGCCACAAGAGGGCCATTACTAGCTATTAATTTGCACACTTACATATCATTCACCTGCATCCGTTCTGATGATTAAATCAAGGCTGCAGCAAACCTTTTCATAGCAATAGACTCCCACAGCCATAAGCTGCTAATTGAACTGCTTATTAAATTTCATTGTGAGTTCAATATCTTTGAACTTGCATTCACGCAGACTGTGTACCGCCATTCATTCCATCAAACTCATTTTTCCAGGTGAAAGGCTCAGCCCCACAGTGCACCCACTTTCAAAGGGCAGCAGAGGAAGGTCCTAGTTTCAAAGATGAAACACCAGAGGAAGGACCTAATATAGCAAAGCACCAAGGGGAAGGGCCAGAGACAAAGGATAGTGCACCAGTGTAAGGGTACTAGTGATGTAGCCCAGTATCGAAGGCAGAACAACAGGCAGCAATTTTCTGGAACGTAACAGAAGAGCACAGTTCTATAATTCAGGACACCATTTAAGGGACAGACACCAGACAATAACTCAATCCAACAGGATTGGTACCAGAGGAAACACCAACTACCTCCAGGGCAGGCCAACAGGGGAAGGGCTCAGTTCCACAGGTTATCAAGGAATGGGAAGGGCCCCACATAGGAATCAGGTGAAAACCCAAACCCCAGGGTGCAAGGCACCAGGTGGAAAGTCCCACTCTCATATGGCAGGGCACTAGAGCAAGGGTCCAGTTTCACGTGGTTCCACAGTAAGGGACCAGGGAATAGGCCCAGACCCAAAGTGCTAGACATCAGGAGAAAGGTCCAGTTGCAGAATGCAAAAAACTAGTGGAAGAACCATATAGCACAGTGCTAGACATGAGTGAAAGGCTAAGACATAATGCAGAACACCACCAGAGTATGGGCACTGTCCCATAGGAGACCAGGTTACAGCCACAGTCCAGTTCAGCGTGAAGGGATGGGCAACCAGCCTCACACGGCTCCAGATAAACAACCCACAGGGCATCAGAGGATCAGCAGTCCGGTATGGCAGTTGTTGCCAACCTTTTCAATATCACGGCACATTTCAATGGAATATACAATTCCATGGGACACCCACATTTTTCAGCTGAATTGGTTGTTCATTAACATCACATTTATTTTAATTTACTCTGGTTATGGCCTTACTAGAGTGGTTTGCAAAATAGCACATACAACAAAAAAAGAAGGATAAAAAGCATTAATGTTTCAAATCCGCTGGCAAAATCATACTGCCTTCAATTGTGAGTACAGGCATATTTTCAAAACCTGCTCAACTCAATTATTCATGAACAATGAATCACAGTAAAACACAATTGTTGAGTAAATTGCAATTTACTGGATGAGTGGGAAATCTGGGCTGGTGTGTGTAGAGCAAGCAGATCCAGGATTGATGGGAGGGCCACCCACAAATCTTGCTCCAGTGAAAAGCACTCCCTCTTGTTGTTTATCATGTATGACAGTGTTGAAAATGCTTCCTCGCAGACGTACATATGGTTGCAAATGGCAAGAATACAGCTATTGTCCGGTGAGGGATCATCAGATAATTATGTGCTGCAGTCAGCCAAAATTCATACAAAGCCATCTCTCCAAACTTCAGCTTCAATGTGTGGTCCATTTGTAACTATGTGTATTCCTCTTCTTATTTTACCATCAGTTTTTGTGATAAATCAGAAGACCGTGAACTAACAGATCATGTGTCGAGTCATAGTCTTCCATATTTTTGAGGGGAAGTAGAATTTGAACTTCTCTTGAAATGCTTTGAGGTGTTTGAATATGAGGCTGTACATCTTGATAGTTACATCTGCTGCTTTTAAAGCTGGTGGAAACATCCCAAGTGAACCGACTGTGACTGTCTCTTGCCAAAGTCCCAGTTCTAACCTGAAATCTTGAAGTTTATCTGTGACGGTCAAGATCATCTCATTTTTCCCTGCATCTTTAGTATTTGGTGGAAAATGTCCGTGAGATTTACCACCAACAATCATCAGATAGTAACTCTTTATAAAAGCAGTTTATGCGTTGTTGAAAACTGTCAGTTTTCACCAAAGCTCATGAGCATGGGACAGAACCTTACTCCCTGCCCCAATAACTATAGCACCTCAGTCTGTAGCAGTAAATTCTGTTGCTCAGCCTTCATCTCTGCCAGATAGCTCTCGTTAAACTATTTCTGAATAGTTCTTGCTGTTTTATCTTTGGGTTGAGATGTTTCATCTTCTGAATTAGCAGAGGAGTTGCCTCTTATGACAAGGAACTCATTATATTTTGTTAGAATGTAAGACTTAGATCAGTGGCATGAGTAAAACAAAAATCCAAAAATATTAATTTTAAAATCATGCTAACATGGAAACATGAGCAGACAGCTTGCCAGATCAGCAGCCATTTTAATTGCATACCTCCTGGCTGTGCATGTGCAGTTTCTTCTCATCCCGGAGATATGGTCCTTCATCTTTGCACATCTCAGGCCAGATGTTTGGCCCTGTGCATGTGCGGGCAGGCTGCGTAACTGAGCAGGTTTCCCTTCTCCTGTACATGAGTGGTGCCAAATCTCTTACGCAAGTGCACTCTCAGAAGTCTGTGCATGCAGAGCTCTGGAGGCTTTTCAATACGGGCACCTGGTGGCAGCTGATACTATCTTCAGTCATAGACATTGAGGCTCCAGAGGAGATCAGAACCATGGACACAGCCTTGATGCATAAGTAAAGAGGCACTGCTTCTCAAAAATTTTGCAGCACACATTTCACCTTGTCATGGTGCTGCAGAACATCAATTGAAAACTACTGCAATAGGGCACTAGGTGAAAGGCTGAGGACATCACCCAGGCTGCAAGGCAGGGGAGTAGCTGAGGTAAAGCAGGAAGCAGTGACACCAAGGCTTGGATTTTTCACTACAACAGAGAGGTGATGGAGATCCCCTCCATTGTGGCTAAATTAGACAATGGGCCCAGAAATCACAAGTCTTCCCTTGTACCCTACAGCATGTAACTTATCATTTTCATGAGGTAGGCCAGCTCATATTTCATACATGTGCATTTCACAGAGGCAGCTAGACTTTTAAATCATCAGATGCCTCCACACAAGCCTTACCTGGGTGAAGGAACCAGTGTACAGTTGCTAAACTTGCTGATGATACAAAGATAGGTAGTAAAGTAAGCTGCGAGCAGGACATAAGGCCTGTGGACAAAGGGATGTGGATAGAATAAGTGAGTCAACAAAACTTTAGTAAATGGTGCCAAATGTGGAAAAATGTGAATTTGTCCACTTCGGCAGGAAGAATAGGAAAGTAGCATATTGGTTAAAGAGAGAGAGATTGTAGGACCCTGAGGTACACAGGATCTGGGTATCCTGCCACATGGATCAAACACTACATTGGTGTTTCCCACCCTCCCTCCTCCTCTGACTGAAAAAAAGAGGGTCTATGAGGAGGACAAAAACAAAGTTGCTGGAAAAGCTCAGCAGGTCTGGCAGCATCTATGAAGGGAAAAAACAGAGTTAACGTTTCGGGTCTGGTGACCCTTCCTCAGAACGGGTGCCAGAGTCAAGGGTATCTGAGCGATTGTCGAACATTCTGAAGGGGGAGAGTGAACAGCCAGAGATCATTGTGCACATCGGTACAAATGAGATAGGTAGACAAAGGGATGGGGTCCTGCGAAATGAGTATAGGGAGCTAGGTAAGAAGTTAGAAAGGAGGACCTCAAGGGTATTGATCTCCGGATTACTCCCAGTGTTATGCGCCAGTGAGGATAGAATTAGAAAGATAGGCCAGATGAATGTGTGGCTGAGGAGCTGGTGTAGGGGGCAGGGTTTTCAGTTCTTGGATCATTGGGATCTCTTCTGGGGTAGAGGTGACCTGTACAAGAGGGATGGGTTGCACTTGAACCAGAGGGGGTCTAATATCCTCACAGGGAGATTTTCTAGTGTTACCCGGGAGGGTTTAAACTAGTTTGCCAGGGGGCTGGGACTCTGAATAAGAGAGGGGCCATCAAGAAGTCAGGGGAAAACACATTATGTATCGAGAGCAAGTTTACTATTCAGGATAGCCAGGGGCACAGTAAAGGGAGGGAAAAGACTTCTGTTTAACGTGCATTTATTTCAATGCACAAAGCCTGACTGGTAAGGCAGATGAGCTCAGAGCATGGATTGGGTCTGGGGTCTGGGATATTATAGCCATAACAGAAAGATGGCTGAGAGAAGGGCAGTACTGGCAGCTCAATGTTCCAGAATGCTGAAACTACAGGTGTGACAGAAGTACAAGTAAGCAAGGAGGGTAGTTGCCTTTTTGATAAGGGAGGACATTACAACAATGCTTAGAGAGGATATTCTTATGGGGTCATCAAATGAGGCCATATGGTTAGAACCCAGAAACATGAGGGGATGGTCACTCTGTTGGGACTATATTATAGACCCCAAATAGCCAACGGG